TTTTGTGGGGGGGGGGGGGGGGAGGGGGAGGGGAGGAGGGGGGATCTTTTTGCCCAATCTAAAGTTTTAAGACAGGACCATAAAATGAGACAAAATAAGGTCTTTTTATGCATTCAGCCATCTAACTGTAAGCTTTCATACTACATTGTATGCCTAATCGATTTAATTAGCAGTACTATACTTGAAGAAAAACTGCTTTAGGCCTCCATGCCACATGAATGTGTCCACTTGTGTGGTTCTTCAACAAAGCAATGAATAGACCAACGTACCTGACAGTAGAGCAGGCTTTCCCATACTGCGCCATGCAGAGTGGAATTGTACCACGAATGACAAGTGGCTCCACCTGTTCACGGTCAATTTTCTGCTTCAAGTCTGCAAAGTGAAATGCAGCCACTGCAGCCCTGTTCAAGACAAAAATAATGATTACAACTGATACAATAAACTAATATTTACAATAAATAAATATTAACAGAGGAAAGGACCCTAGCACTACTTGTAACAAGAAAAGTGAAAAAATAACAATTTTTGTCACCATTTTATCCAAAGCAACTATAGAAATTATCGATGATGAATTTGATCTATCATGGAAATCCCATCATCTTACCACAATTTTTTCAACACAAAAGTCACAATTAATGCAATATTTACTTACCTTGCTGACTGTTTGTCTGTAGGGCACCAGTAGCTTTGGTCCAATATGTAGTAATTGCTGTTGATAGACAAGGAGCTTCTGCCACTGAGGTACACATACTTATTCCTGTAGTGTAAAATGAAATACAATATGTTTTCACCACAGCTTCATTTGTCCTATCACCACTGAATGGAAAAGACCACTACAATCCATTCATCAATTCAGCCAGAAAACAAGCAAGCAGTGACCAAATATGAAGAAATTTGAAGAAATATGAAGAAAAAAGAAGCACACAAAATATTCTTCAAAACAATATTTTCTATTGAATTCTGCAATTCCCCTTTCCAGACACAAAATCACACACCTAACAAAGTCAGTATTTGCATCACTTGTTATTTACTCCTTTGTAGAGTTGCATGCACTTAACATTCTATGTGAGATTTAATGCATATGGTGATTACTCAATCTTTTCAATGGGGAAAAATTGTGAATTTTACAGACACTGTATTTCTTTAATCATAATTTCTTATAATTAAAACCTTCATATTGAGTGGTAACAACAAAATTCAAAAGCAGGCTACTCTGGAGTTGTACTGTATGCAGTACAAGTACTACAAATGCTACATAAAAATAAAATTTTTGTGATTATAAAATCATGAACCTGCAAGTTTGATCATTTTTGCCCAATGAAAAGATCGAGTAATAACTGTACATAATTTTGCCAAATATGAGTGTCAAACTTCTTCACTTATACTGTTAAGCATAATCCTAATATATACTAATTTAAAACATCACTTACAGAAATACCAAAGAGCATCACTTCTTCTCTTTAAGCACATCTGGGTATATTTAGTAAGCATGAATGAAATCTGATTTGATCATTAAACTTAGGTTGACCAAGGAGTTATAACTCCTTGGGTTGACAAAAGTCACTTTTGATACAAAAGAAAGTTGAGCTTTCTCTGTGAGATTAATGTCTGTATTGGAGGATGTCTTTAATAACATATTATTTGGAAACCTGGTTTTATTCATAATGAAACTGTAAATACCAGTATTCCCTCTATTTTAAGCTTCTTTCACACGTACAGCATTAAATGTGCTTGCTTGTAACCCAAAAGCAGAAACAGTATGACTTTGGGACCATTCCCACAGATTTTTGGATCGATCTATCTCCCTGGAGAGTCTCACTATAATTTCTGTCAACGTAATAATTAAATAATTTAATCCGGCTTAAATGTCTGGGGGTAATTATCTTTACCCTCTAGCTGATTCTGTAGGCCTGACAGACATTTTAGCAGGTTAGTTGAGAGCTATTTAGTGAGACTCCCCAGGGAGTTAGACCGATCCAGATGGATCGATCTAGGCATGGGAACCCAGTCTTAGAGACTACATAGTCAGCACCCTGCTATGTGAATGCTTACCACCAGTCAGTGACCCAGTTGTCTGCCCACCAGGATTTAAGAATCAGAGTGTGCTGAAGTTTCTTACCGATGCCTTTCTCAAACTCCTGCAACAAATAGGATGCATGAAGCCTTATCATCATTGTTAATGTTTGCATGCAAAAGCCAAGTTAGATACATGTGCATGCACAAGCATGTCCACACACTTAGTTTATGTCCAGTTACTTTGATTGCAATTTGAAGATAAAATGTGCTTCTGATCACTTACCTGTCATATACATGTTGCATATACCTGGGAGATGAGCAGTTAAGATAATTACTGACCGCAATTAATCAAAGATGACTAGAGGCCAGGCCTTTGTTTTGGCAACATGCCACTTACCTGAAATTATCCTATGTCCTGGTTCAGAGATTAACAGTAAAGATTATTTAGGTCAAATTATATTCATAGATGGAGGTGATATAGAAGTAACTTTTCTCCGAGCAAAGGACAAGTCAAAAACACTATTTGCCTTTCCTTCTCAAGAAGACAGCGTGGATTTCCAATGACCAAATTATCAAACTTTTACCATTCCCTGTGATGGACCAACGCCAGAGATACAAATTCTCTGTTGATCTTAATGTGTCAGAATAAAAACAAACTGTTTAAACTTTAGCATGAAAAAAAAAAGACTTTTAAAATGTAGATATTCTGAATGAGCATTCAACACAGCATTTTAAACAATGACTTTATCAGAACGCAAGGAATCTCTTATTCCTGAAAGTGTACACTGTAGTTGATTTTTGTAATTTGAAATAGCTCACAAAAATATTTGAGTTGACGTCAAAAATAACTTTCTATTATGTATGTATTTAGTAAATAGTTAACTTTAACCATGAATCAATGATTAATTGGACTTTTTTAATGGCTTCTGTGTAAGTTTTGCACTGTGGACAAATTTTCCGTCCGTAATTTTCCGTCCGTAATCTGACATGATTTTTTAAACTTCAAAATTTCATAACAAAAAAATTTTTTTTTCAATAACCTTTTACATTTCTAGTAACTAAAATAATGAAATTGTCATGTCAATGCAGTTTTATCTTTAAAAAGCCACAAACAGAGAAGAGTTTTGAAGTTGAAGTTGATTAATAAAAACGCTTGTCCATTTTTTTCCGTCCGTAATGGTGATCAATAACCAATATTTCTCAAAAACTAATAAATGTTATTTCAAGTTTTTTGGTCACAAGTTTAGGCTTGCACTAATCAATATTCCTGCCAAATTTGAACAATGTATGTATTATAGTTTTTGTAGAATTTATTTTTAAAGTGTCAAAATTCCGTCCGTAATGTAAAATGAATACCACGGAATGCCCCAGAAACAAATGAGAGAGGAAGCTTCATATAATACATATTAATAAAAATCACTCCATCAGCACAAATTCAAACCTAAGCACTCTCCGGTGGCTAGACTATTTTGGCAGATTGCAAGCAGTGGAATAAGATCTCCATGCAATATGTCAGAAAAGACATAACCATTACATAACCAACCATTACATTACACCAGAAAAGACGTAACCATTACATTACATAGCTGTTTGGTTCCACTTAGTGATTAATATCACTAAAATCAGTAACTAATACACCTTTAAGGTGTGATCAAAACCTGGGTCACTTTAACCAATTTTTAAAATCACCAAGTTATAAAAAAGGTCAATTCTACTGAAATTCAATTTTTCTTGCACTTTAGTATATTTAATCCAACCAGCTTAAACTTACCTTTGCTGGAAATTATCCAAAAGTCCAACCAATGCCAGGAAAATTCCCTGTTTTACTTTATAATGCAATTTCAGTTGCATTCCTTCATTTTGACTACACACATTTTAAAATTTACCTTTGACTGCTCCTTCAGCTTCTGGATCTCCTCAGAATGTTCCCCGTACAATGGTTTCAGCGATGCAATCAGATCCTTGAGGGACTTCTTCAGTGGAGGCACTGGCATTCTGGGTAAACTCCTCTGGCAGCTGTATAGAGATGGGTGCCTGCCACTGACCAGGCGCACAATCACAGCCCAGAATATAGTGGAGTAGGACTGGGTTCTTGGAGGTTGGTCTATAAAGCAAGATGAGGTTTAAAAGTGCTTTTTAAAATAATCAAACTTCAAGTTGGAACAACTTTTCATGAGTCCTATTTACAGATTATTTAGAAAAATTATCAAAGAGCAAAACTGATTGCTGAATGATGTCTACAATATTTAACAAACCTCACTAACTTAGGTAATAACTATAGAGTATTATAGGGAATATGTATTTCAGGTATATAGATTTTTCTTAATGAACAAGCTGTTAAACCACATACACATCCATCCTCTGTATGCCAACAGTGCTCTTAGAGTGTATCTCCGCACATGTAGGAGGACAAAGAAGAATCCAGTCCCAGCAATACCAGATATCAAAAACACTCGCAGGTAGTAAGGAACATCTGGAAAAACAAAATTAATCCACCTCATCATAACAGTTTTTCTAATAAATACTTCTGAAATTGTTTCATAAGAAAATATTAATTAACATGTCCAGGATTTTTATAATCGATGTTAATTTTTATTTTGTTTAAATACAAAATTATCAATTTTACTTTTTCATGTTCGGAATAAAGGACATTTTACAGGGTACAAAGTCTTGATAACTTTAAAGGAGACGAGTCACCTTAAACCACAACACAGACAGACAAAGTGGACTTTGATACACTCTTTTCTAAAATCATTGCAGGCCTTTCAGACCAAATTATTAAAAACACAATGACAACAACAACATCCCCTTCACCAAACAAGAAAACTGTACAAGATTTCTAACCCACGGTGTTTGTAAATATGATATTTTACCATGTTAGAATGTGTAAAATAAAATCAGTTCAAACATGAATATGAGTATCCAACTTAAAGGGTGAAACTTGCGACCCACAATGTCATTGTCAACAACCATTTATCGTTATGGTTCAAAAAGGTCTCGTGTATCCTAACAGTGCAGAAGCCCTTTAAATATTCTAATCAATATCTATGTAACTACTTGTGATAACCTTAAATTTAGTATCAAGCATGATAATTCATTATACACTACCTCAATTCACCATTTATAAATAACATAGTACAATCACCTGTACTTGAACTGTGGACTCCGTTACCCAAATATTGATCAACTTCTAAAACCTAACCCATATCACATTTTTATTAAAATGATGTGATCCCTTTCAAACCCCTTCAATACAATGACATTTCCAGGGATGAGGCTTTTTGGCAATTGGCCGATAGTCGAAAAAAAATTCACAATGTTGTAAGCACCAACACCACAGCAAAAGTAAAAAAAAAATCTGCCAATAGTCGGAAAAATCTAATCCTTGCATTTCTCTTCACATTTATCCAACTATTATAAATGCAAAATTCCATATAATGTAAGCTTTGAAACAATTCCACACTGGAACATATGGTACTGGGTAGTAAATAGGATAATTCATTGTAGCAAAAATGATATAAAATTGACAATACACTAATTAAGACAGATAAGTAACAGTGGCACTTAATATAGACTATATGACATCAAATGTGATGGTATCAGAAAAATCCTATAGAGAAATGGAAGATGGACATCAAGGAAGTATAATTAAATACAAAATCTCTGCCTGTTCAACTATTCCTCTCCTATTATAATGACAAGATGAAATGCAATCTGAACAGTAATCCAAGAACAGGAAACCGTCCTACATATATTAAAATAACATCTCATCATAGGAAATCCCATGTACTGTATACTGCAAAACATCTGTAAATTAACAAGGAAGTTAAGTATATCTTCCTTTCTTTGAAAGATGGCTAATTTCAAAATGTACAATTGATCTGAGCTGGATTTTGTGTCAATTGATAGTCCAATATGATAAGATAGAAGATATGTATACCAGATATCATCCCATATATACATGTATGTACCTTATTACAACTGATAACCACAGATATGGCAAATATTGGTCAACTCTAATTAATTATTACATGAATGACATAGATGTTATATACACTAATTAATCATTACACGAATGACATAGATATGTTATATCACAATATTCCAAAAAGACAATTATAAATTTTCCATAAAGGCGATTCTTTTAATAATCACAACTTATCCCACCACCATCCCAATGCTTACCTTCATGAAGACCTAGCAAACCCCCAAATCTCCACAACAAGCTTGTGACTGGCTTCAGGAATTCAGGGTCATAAATAAGACCTGTTGAAAGAACAGCTACGGATCCACCAAGGTTCCACAATGAGGTTGGCCACAGGCCATTCTTTATTTGGTTTCTAAAGGGAAAGAAAGATACATGTAATTGCACTTTAAAATAAATATACACTGCCCATGTACAAGTACTAGTATACATGTACTCTGTGGGTATAGAAACCTTTCCTTATGTTTTTCCCATATATATACTGTATGTAATCAATGATGCTTATTAATTTATTTCAAGCAGGCTCTCTTGTCAATTTGAACAAGTTCTAAAAATCACATATTTACCGGTAACTACCTTTAATTATTATACCAGACTAGATCTATACAACCACAGTTTAAAAAGTATTAAAAGTATTTTGTAACAAATTGTGATCTACATGTGACTTCCTTCATAGACTTGCATGTATATCAGTATGATCAATTGTACATGTATCAATAATTATATGGATTTGTCAGTCTATAGTTACCTAATTCGATAAAAACTTCGAACAGTTGATCTGCGAAATGCAACCAAAAAATCCCTTGTCGTGTCTCTCCCCTCTTCTATGTCATGAACCCTTGGTTTTAAAACTGCGCTTCTCGCTTCAGCCATTCCTCGCCTACAGGTGGTGAAATAAACTGCTGTTTACTAAACAGGCCGCTCGATCATCCTTCCCGCTAAGTGAGCTTGATACAAATCATGCAAGGAAATCCCTGTTGTTGATGTATGTCATTTGACTTCGAAATCTCAGAAATAATAATTCAAGTTCACAATGCAAATTTAGCTTTAAATCCAATTTATGAAATTGCTCTTTGAATGAATTATTGTAGTGGAAACTAATGCTTAAAAGACAAGCAACTCAGCGGTCCAAAGTCCATCTCAAAGAGAACAGAATATCAATCACTTATATAAATAATCAGTCTCAACTATCAAAATGAGGAAATGTTTAGCGCTGTCGACTGCTGCCCTCTACCGATAAAAGTGGCATACTACATGGATAATGAACTACATTTAAATCTGAGATGGAAATTGATTTAGTTACAAATCTATGAAATACTCTGTATTCAAGCCCCTTTTAGACCGTCCACAGTGGGGGTCGGTATCTACTTAAACAATTTTGGTATGTTAAAACAGTTTTTGATCTCAAAACTTAAATAAAATATAACCATGGCAATATTCGGCTCAGACCTGTCCCAGAGAAATTTAGAGGCAATCTGAATGATTTTCCAATAATAAAGTTAGCATTTATCTTGAAAATTAAAGCAAAACATTTAAAATTGACAGAATGATCCATCTTATGTAGTTGTTAGCTTCATCGAACAAGCAATCAAAGAGTCTGATGAATTTACCTTTTTTAAAGTCAAAAACTTTTAAGATGTAAAAGCAAAAAGAGTCTATCTTTACTTTTTTTTCACACTTTGGAGTTGGGTGATGGTCTGTTTTTATTTAAATAACTTAAAGTATAGTTACTCTGAAGATTTTATTTAGTATGTCATGAATAAGCTGAACAAAATACCAATGATCGACACAAGGAGTGTGGAAACAGTTTATTTGGTTACACCAAACCATGATTATGTACAGATAAACAACTTCTTCTGGTAGCACTTTATATCTATATATGTATATATGTACTAGACCTTTCTCTTTCTAAACCAATGTCAGTTGCCACAATAATATTCTTTTCCCTCTCTTCATGCTGGCAGATTCATTTATCCATCAGCAATTCTGAGAAAAAACACTGCATCAATAGTACATTATGTTTAAATTCCAACTATTAATTGGATAATAGAAACCCATTACATATTTGCTGTTAACTTCTTGTGACTCTAGTCTCTCTTTTTAGTCATTCTACAAAAATTACCTTATTCTCAGGTTTCAACTGAAGAAAATAATGAAGGCAGAGCCTCAATTTAAACATTGTATGCATGGTATATCCATGGCACATTGTCTTGTCAATTTTAAACAAGCTACTTTTTCTGTATTAGATGCATTTGGCAATATATATTTTTACAAACAAATTTGCATTTGTATTTTTCATATGTAAATAAGTAGTTTTTACGTTCAGTTCTAAGAGTTTCCTTTAAAAATGTCTGCGTTTTGAGAGAAAAGAGTTCCTTTCTATGAACAAAATCTGCTTTGTATAAAACATCAGTGTAGCAGAATAACAATAGGAGCTAATTACAATGCTGTATTCTTTATATGTACATGATCAATTAAAAGAAACATTTTTCTATAGTTTACACTTTCATTGCACTGTGCAATATCTTTTACACACAAGCACATACATCTATAATCCTTTCTTAAATATCTTATATCACATAACAAGTTGAAACTTTGACATGGAGATAATTTATATATGTATATAATGTGTATATCCAGCCACTAAATGATGCCAATGACATCAACACTGACTGGACAAAATGGCACACGTCCAGAGCTTGTAAGTGGAAATCAAATATAGGTTAGACTGATATAGCTTCAGTCTGAAAAAAAAAATTTAGCTAACTTGTTTTCAATCTGAGAAAAGCTGGTACTAATTCAGCTTAAAAAAACTGTCAAGCCAATTTATATCAGTCCACCTTGTGGGTTTACTGGCAAAAGCTCAAAATGGCATTAAAAGACTTAACAACTTAACACTTGACTAAAGCCTGCTTCAAAGCAGGTAATGGTTTCCTTATTTGAGAGTAGGTGCTTGATAACCCTGAAGCTTTACAGAGACAATAGGCCTGGAGATTGAGCAGCAAGCCAAACACTCATACTTTAATATAATGTACACTAATCGGAGATAGTGGTATTTAACATGGTTTGTATGTAATAGAATCTGGCAGTTTTATAATCAGCTGTATAACAGCTGTAATGTTACATGTCCGTAACTGGAAGGTGAATAACATCCATTGTAAATGTTGCAGAATATACTGTATATTTCAGCTGCATTGATATTGGCAGAATATAGTATATTTATAAGCTGCATTGCCATTATACTGTGGTGTCCCATAACTGTGACTTTTAACTTGGTGTGACAGTCCACTTTGTTTACCGTTTGGTGTATTACAGTAACACAACCTTTCTGTAAATGACTAATGAATCTTGGAAAAGATCCTCATATTCATTTCACAATGACATACACGTTTCGCATTCCTTTGTATTCATCTTAAATTGTACAAGTGAATCAGTTGGAAATCTCTTATATTATGTGAGATAGAGTATTTGGATGTCTTACAGCCCACTTATAGAATAATGTGTCAGCATGATGTCTGAGCATCCAATATACTATATAGGATAATATACAGAATACTCTTGTTCTGTATGGAGTCCACAAGCAAATTCAATCCATAAAGATAACATGCTGCCCAGTATGGAGTCACGGGTCCATTTAAGGCTTTGAATTTCCCATGTGGTAACAGTCTATGGTATCCTTAAGCTTTATCTGGAATTCTCATACTGTATACCATATAAATATATATGGTGTCTGTGCAGTGCTTGAATCTCCCACTTGGTCAGTATGTGGAATTCTCAATTGGTATTTCAAATTGTAAATTGTTTTATCCTCGTGTATATGTTTGCTTTTACCTACCAGAAAGCACTCGCATAGTAAATGGTATACCAAGTCCTCACATACTATATGGTATACAATATCATCATTGTGTGCATGTGGAATATCCCAAGTCCTCACATACTGTATAATATACCAAGTCCTCACATAGTGTATGGTATACCAAGTCCTCACATAGTATATGGTATACCAAGTCCTCACATAGTATATGGTATACCAAGTCCTCACATGGTATTTTGGTATACAAAGTCTTCACATATTATATGCCACATATATAGGATCAAGTTGGTCAGCCAGGAAGCCATCCCTGAGGTGCATCCTCTGTTTCTCTCCCCTGGAATTGATAGGCACCACCCCGGGGTCCACCACAACCACCACGCCCACAATTAAATAGTGGTCTTCCAGTACAGCGTTTGTCACCAGGGGAACAAGGTCCAGAGCCTCATTCTCATTTCCGTCCAGTTCGACTACAACCACAAGGAGGTTGGTCCAGGTGAACACAGCACTGTTAAATAAAAATATTAAATGTTTTGTAAAAAGCATTTAAATTTAAACAACTTATAAATGGATTTCCTGTCAGCACTGAATTGCATAAAAACTGATACACATTTTTTTGGGTCACTGTAATGTCAAATCTTTAACAGGCAAAAAAAAAACAAAAAAAACTTAAAATGACACTGAACCTATTCTCCCAGTTACTATCAATACTAATGCATTGTTAAGGTCTAAATATTAGTAATAAATCATATAACAAAGAAAAACATTAACACCACATAGTCCATCACTGAACAATTACATACCAGTGCAAAACGACTTAATACAAGAATGTACTGATAATTCAAACAATGTCCAATGGGTATAAACATGATCCCACTCACCATTCACAGATCTTCCTATGTGACCTGAGGACAGTGCTCTCTATGTCAATAGGATGGTACCTCATTCCACGCAGCATCACTGTCTCATCCAGAGCACCTACTATAAACACAGCATCATGACGCTCTGAAATAAACAATAACAAATGATGCAGGGGCATTAATCCCTTCAGCCTGCAATGAAACATTCATCAGTAGGGACTTGTCCTGCATTCTTTTTTGAACTTATTCCATTAAGGCAGAAAAAAGTTTTATTTTTTTGAAAAATGATTCCACTTCATAAAACGAGCTATTCTTTGTGTAAGTTATGCTTTTTTTTTATGCCATTTTGAACAATTAACTTTACCAATAATAATAATAATACATCTTATCACAACTAACCTCCATCAGACTGTGTAAGTTCCGTTCTCCTCACAAAGCCAAGGAATCCCGTCCTTGCGTAGGTGGTCTGTGTGTCCCCAGTGACCAACCTGGCGTCAAAGTGATCAGCATGCAGGGACTCATCCCCGTATATCGTGTAGTAACCACTGGCATTGTGAGGGGTGTTCACCCAGATCTGAAACATAACAAATAAATAAATAAATAAAAATTAAAATAAAAAAAATACATTCTTAAAGTTTTATTGTAATATATCTATCTGAAATGAAACGGTGCAGAAAACATTTTCTGTATATAAACAAACCACCGCATTTAAATTTTGATACTCCTTCCAAATATAATACGATACAACAAGATGAGCTTGTGAAGAAAAACAAGGCAGCAAAGCTGTCAAATGTACAGACAAAAAGCAGGAAATAACAAAATAGGCTACTGTCAATTCTGATGCAAAAGTACATTATGTTAAACTGCGAATTCAACATCAAATTTTAATTATGCTCAACAGGTAATACCAATGTAAGTAAAATGTGAAACAAGCATAAGGCTTCAGGCCCATGGGAGTTCAAGTTCACACTTTGAAAATGTAAAACTTCCAGAAAAAGAAGTCAATTAGACTGCTTTTCCAACTCAGGCTGCATTTAAGTCCTGTATTTCTTTTTTTAAAGTTTGGCAATCATAAGTAACATGGTTTTCCCATAATGGTCATCATGGCAGCAGCACCCAAAATTGTGTTTTCTTCTATTCTGATGCAGTATTACATAATGGTTAACAGCATAATGACAATCAATTTTTAATAACAAAATATATGTGTCATGGATTTTCAGAAAATGTGACTAGCCTGGGTCTTCAAGCCTGTGGAACTTCAAAGTCACACCTTGAAAATGCCAATATGTGAAAAATTAAATTTTCACAAAAAAACTGTTTATCTGGCAGATTGCATTGCCTACTGAAGCTGTATTTTAGTCCCATGTTTCTTTCCTGTAAGTTTGAGAACAGTAAGTGACATGGTTTTTCTTAAAAGATAATCATGGGAGCAGTGCCCAAAATAGGTTTTTTCAAATTTTGATGCAATATTACATAATGTTTAACAGCATAATGACCATCAATTTTTAATAATAAAATATTAGTATCATGGATATTCAGAAAATGTGACTAGCAAAGGTCTTCAGGCCCATGGAACTTCAAAGTCACAACTTGAAAATGCCAAAATGTAAACAAGACAGCACTGTTCTGAAATGTTTTTTTTTTTCCATTTTTAACAATTTTTAACATAAAACAAAATTAACAGTTTACTGCCATTTTTATATGATCAACTAAGAAAATTGATGAGATGGGAAAAATATCAATAGAGCAGTGTTAAATGTCCAATTTCTTCCATTCTGAGATTCTGAACATAGTGAATGATTGAATCTGACAAACTGCAATGATATGAGTTTATTTCCATTTTTGAAACTTTATTACACAATACACGATAACAAGTTTACCATCATTTTTACAAAATCAACTAACAATGTTGTAAAGATGCAGGAAATGTCAAACAAACACTTTTACGTATCTTATTAGTTTAATAATGAGACTGTTAACATGCCTAAGAATTGAATCTGAGGAAATGTGAAAAAACAGCATAACTTCTAAAATAATGGCCCGATTATGCTGATTTTCGAACTTGACCTGCGTTTTAGTAAGATTGACCACTCCTGTGAGTTTAATTACAATTGGCCTATCTGTTTTTCTTATATTGTGTTTACAGTGTTGCATATATGCTGAAAAATGAAAAAACAGCATAACTACTAAAATAGTGGCCCGATCATGCCGATTTTCGAACTTGATCTGCGTTTTAGTAAGACTGATTACTCCTGTGAGTTTCATGACAACAGGCCTATCGGTTTTCCTTGAAATGTGTTAACAGTGTTGCATATATGCTAAAAAGTGAAAAAACAGCATAAATTCTACAATAATGGCCCGATCATGCTGATTTTCGAACTTGACCTGCGTTTTATGAATATTAGTCAGCGCTGTAAATATAAAGCCAAAAAGTAAAACTGTCTTCCACTTATGGTGTTAACGCTGAAAGTGCACGGCGACGGCGACATGATCGGCGACGGCGACGGCGACGACAGACGCAGGTGATGGCAATATGTACAGACACATCTGTGTCTGTACATAAAAAAAAGGACTTCTAAACAAATGTTCATATTAACATTCTACTGTCATTTTGATTAGTATCATTTGACTAGTATTAGTACAGTAAGAGATGTGTGCACATACAGACAAGTCTGTCTGAACTTAAGAAGGTGGATGGGTGACAAAAAAGAAAACATTTTTTTGTCATTTTGTACCCTATACTGATCATAAAAGTAAATTGCAGTGACCACACACATACCTCCCCCAGGTGAGAGTCTGCACACTGCCCCTTGGTCTCTGGGTTGGCAATGGCCACTTTGACCCCAGGAAGAAGCTGAAAGAGAAAATTGGAGATTTGTCAATGAATATTTATCAAATTTGGGCACTTCTGATAAACAATGAAACATCTTTGTTAAGGACATTTTACAGCTGAAAACTTGGATACGGGCAATGGTCCAAAGTTCTTGGAAAAGGCTCCAACAATTTTGAGTCTTGAGCATCAGTTTTAGTACTTAAAAAATATATAATTCCTATTTTTTTTAAAGTTATCATTTTGCTTTGTCTAATGGAAGAAGACTAAAACCTTACCTTGCCTGACTCCATTAAACAAAGACTGTGAGGACTTCCCTTTTCCACCAGTGAAACTCTATCATTGCGCAATGCTTTGAGATCACAATAGACTGTGGTGGTGTCTGGACTAGACGCACCCTGCAACAATAAAAATATAGTTTGGTTAAATCAACATAATATGGCAGTAAAATGTTACAATAAGAGTGTCATTTCTGTGAAAGAGAACTTTTGTGGTTTCAATTTTTAAAGGATGCACTTGTTCCCACCTTGGCACTGATTATACTGCCAGAGAAAGAAGCCGTATATAGTGTTAGCTTGGCAACATTGCACAAATATCTTTATCCTTGTCCTATTTTGTGAAAATAAAACATATGTTTTTTTTTAAATCTTAATCAGAATTGTCCCCCCCCCCTCTACCCCCACTCCCATCTTCCTTGTTATTTTCTTTTTTTTTCCTCTCTTTTGTCTCCATAAGGGTTCTCATAAAATTCTAAATAATTTTTTGATTTTCAAGAAAGGAGAACTATAGGCACCTGCAAACACATGGCCACATTAACTCTGCAGCCAAAACTGGTGCTGACTGCCCTGGGTGCCAATCCCAGGCTGGAAAAGATCTTAGTAAACTGACTGGTCAGCTGGATTCTTGGTCTCTCCTCAGCCACCACCACCAGGGTACGGACACAAGAAAGATTCACGCCTTTTGTCTGGAAACGGGAATAATTTTTCTGTTTAAATGAGGATAAACACAATGTGTCATGTCAATGTTAGTCAGGGGTCGATAAATGAAATAATGAAAAGTTTCAGTTTTGGGTAACCATTTTATAAATTCAATAAGATAACTGATCAGGAGGTCCTGCAAAATAATCTAAACCAGAAAGCTTTTTTGGGAAGACAGATTTCAATGTTATTATAAATAAAGCTTTCTTTTCATGAAAATTATTAAAGCCTTTATAACAGTAGGGATTTTCAAAATCCAAGACACAAGGCCTCCAATAGAGACTTCAGGCTAAATTTCACTGTAAAGATAAACATACTTTGAGCATTGCTGTGGAAGTTCCTAGCCCTTTACAGCACAGTTCCATGACTCCATATGAGCAAAATGTGTCTCGAACTGAAAGAAAATGAGAGAAACTGAAATATATCAAATGTCAAATAGTCTAATAATTGCAACATAAAAACTGATACAACACTAGACAGATTCTGAAAAAAATACTCTTTCCCATTCATCATGCTTACCTTTGCACTGGCTTACAACAGTGAGCCATATTGCTGGGTTAATCTCCACCTCTGAGGGAGGAATCAATATTGAGTGGTGGCCAGAGTATACACTGAAAAACATACAACACACATTTAACTTATTTCATAGTTTCGTGGTTGCAATTGAATAAAATAAAATGACACATTGGGGATAAATTTAAATGTAACGTAATTACATGAATCCCTTTTTCATATTCATTGAAATCAAAAAATCAAACTCCCATACCTTGAAAGGCACCAAAGCACAAAGCCAAGTCCTGAGTATGGGTCCAGAGATAAAGACACATCCCTGGATGGATATAACTCACACTGAAGTTTGATTGACCTGCATAAAGCTGTGGTAGCAGCATGGGACATCTGAAACAGAAAGGAAATGTTCGTGATATATGAAATTTGATATATATAATATAAGAACTTTGATGTGTTTTTTTCCTTCAGCATTTGAAACAGCAATAATGTTAAGAGTAAATTAAAATACTTTTCAGAATTCAGAAACTCAATTTTATATTTTTTAAACTCATCAATAGCACATACAAATTGTCTAGATACCACATAACTTCAAACATGGCAGCCAAAATATAAATATTAACCAAGTCCACTGACTAAACAAGTAATAAATTCCACATATTTATTCACCTTAATCCCAGCTAGCATGCCTGTGGTGGACACACTGAAGTCTAAGTAACAAATCATCTCAGAAGTGGGAGCCCTGTATAAATTAGCCAGCTTTTTCTTGGGGAGATCATCAGTGTCTAAGAGGGTAGGCCACGCCTTGATGTCTGTGACAGCTGCAGCCTCCTGGAAGTAGAGAACATAGAGGTCAGTCATATCTCTATGCACAGGTATTATAAAATGTTTTTACCATTTTTTTTTTTTTACTTGAACCCAAAACCCCTGGGAAAGATAAGTTAATATGCAATACAGACTTTTGTTCACCTGTCATATTTAAACAAAAACTACAAATGGCATATCTGTAAATAGCTGAGCAATATCTGAATTCATATCTTTTATGTCAACATGTTATTTTCAATTCACTATTCAAGGAAAGTTACATCCCCAAAACTAATCCATATTTGGTTAAGTTTAACCATCAAAAGCTTGTAACTTTGTAAGCCTAACCTACACCTGAAATCCTTTACCAGCACCTGTCACAATACCTTACCTTTGATTTTAACAGTTTAATGACATTGGCAGTGGACAGTACAGCTACAGCCTTGCTGACCTCTACTATCATGCGGACAGTGGGCAGTGTGGTGGCCAGATTCTGAGGATGAGGGGGGCGCACTGTCACTGGTACCATGCCTGGGGAGGGAGGAAAAAATTCATTTTCTTAGATATCAATTTCATGACTATGAACACAACTTATAAAATGGCTTTCTTAGATATCATTTTCATGACTATAAATATAACTGGTAAAATGGCTCCCAACACGATAGATTATTGATTGTGATATAACATAAAATTGTCTACAACAAACCACTAAATGTCTCTGAATAGCAGGTAAAAGAGATATCACATTTTCACCTTTCCCTTAATTCTTCATACATATTACTTATGACATAATAAAAAAGCTTGAGTGTAAAGAATAGTTTC